ACCATTCTATGATTCTATTACATGGAAGTCTGTTATGAAATAAAACGTAAAATTGAAAATTTTCTTAGAATAAATTTTAAAAAGATCAGTGTTTACTAGGATTAGAATGTCCCATATTTTTGAAGTTATATTTGCTTTTAAATATGCAGTATTTCTCTAGGGGTTTTTGGTCACAGCATCTTTCTTGTGTTCTCCATATTGGTAAAGAACAGTGTACATGTTAAAAGCATTGGTTTGCCTAGAGAGAAAAGAATTTCATGACTGGAAATGGGAGGTGTTTTAGGGATGGATTTCATCATCACATTCAGGGAAACAGATGAAACAAGTATCAGTTCCAAGAGTCCATATCAATTCATGCCTGTCCTGAATCTTATAAGAGCTACAGCCACCACAGAGCTTTCTGCAAAGCTTTCCTAGCCTCAAAGGAAGACGTAAGGAGAATGAATGCTTGTTCCTGATAATGCCTTCACTTTACCAAGTGTTCCTGGGGCTTTGTCATAATGGATATGAAAAGGAACACTGGATTTTGGCTATATCCCCAAGTGGATTTTCTTCCTAAGGTTTCATTACAGTTTTCTTGGTTTTCCTTTTTTATCAAATTAACACCAAAGAAAGAATAAGTAAATAAGATAATAGATAAAAGAGAGAAGTAGGCATCTGGGTGAGTCAATGGCAGCTGTTCTCCCTGAAGAACAACAATGGACTAAGTAATTGCAGACAGAAACAGGATGATCTCTAAACAGACCTTGAAAATAGAACGTGCACATGTCAGAGCTATTTTTATTATCAACATAATTAAAAGAAAAAGTGGAAAAATTCTGGACATAGATCTATAGAAATTGTTTTTTATGGTAGCACTGAACAAAGAATTAGGAAGTGAGGGCCAAGAGCAGCATGGATATATAGGAGTGGATGGCGGTGAAAATGAATCAGGTAAGAGGATTAGCAGTGAATAGATTGTTGTAGGGAGACCTGTCTTTTCACATCCCCAGCTTTGAACTGAAGACAGCTGCTGGTGGTCATTAATTAATGATTAATGACTTCATCTTTAACTAAGGGTAAACTGTATGATGGTAACTCTATGTGTAATTAAAGCATGAGTTCCAGTTTGCATTTGAATTAGGGAATATCTGTAGAAAAATGTATTGGGGCATACTTGAATTGAGGAATATCAATACAAAGATTTAATGCAAATATATGGAAAACATAGCATAACCATCAATAAATTTGCAGCATTTGCTCTTTAAAAATAGTGTGCATATACTGAGACTTTAAGTAACCCTGCCAATTAGAGTTTAAAGTAGTTAAATGAAGTCTTAAAGAAATTAACCATCTGTCATTTCCCTAATGTGCTTAATGGAATAAGACTTCCAAACTGCCCATATAATTGCTACTGATTTTTGTCTTGTACATGAACTACATGAGCAAAAAAAGCTTGTAATTAAGATAAACTGTAAGTGGGCATTTAAGTGTGTCGGCTATTGATAATTCAAGTAACTCTTAGCTGTTGTCACTGCTGTGATTGTTGTCACTGTCGTGTCAGATTGCCAGCTGGTCACCAAGGCTCTATAGATCTATACCAAATCAATGGGAAGGAGACAGGAGGCCAAAAGTAATTTGGGTTCAAGAATTCAGAGGCAATGAAAGGAGAAAATACCTAACATTTTCTCTTTCTTTAAATTTAATCCTGATCCACAAGTTCCTCATTCAGTTTTTAATGTCTGATGCATAGTGTTACAAGATTACAAGTGGATGGATGTATTTTATTTATATATTTGGGAACTTCCGTGCATTTCTGTGCCTTCAGTGAGATATCAACTCTTATTTTCCAATGCTGGTAATGGATGGTTCAGGAAAACTACCAGCATAATATTCTTTACCCATAAGTAAGTGATGCAACTCAGCCATCATCCTTTGTTGCTTCTGGATTGGATTCTTTCTATTGTTTGTTTTTTTCTTAGGCATTTGCAGAATGTGGATGTGCAAGGCAGTTGGGAAGGCTTGCAGTAAGCAAGTATGAAATGCTCCACAGATTTTTTTGTTTAGTTTTAATCATGAAATACACACTAGGAAGGATAGGGACTGATGTTGCATAGTACTAGGAAAATAAAAGCAGGAGGTGACACACCTTGTAGACAGTATGTTAAATTCTATTAAGCTCTGCAAGAATCTCTGCACAGATAATAAACTTGGTAAGACAGACCCCCCAGCTGTAATTGCAGTGTCATACATCATAGGATCCAGTGGTTCCTGATCACTTTATGCTAGCAGTCTCTAGGGTGTACTTGGTGGAGTACTAGGATGCAGTACTGTACCTTAGATGTCCTGAAGTAACAATGTTTTTGTCAAGAAAACTATATGGAATATTCTAGAGTAGTATTTCAAAATGAACCAAAGTAAAATAAAGTACACTACCTTTACTGTATGTGTATATATGTATGTACATATATGCATATGTATTTGTGTCACATGTTTGTGTGTTTGTATATAAATGGGCGTTAGTGAATTAATTGCATTGTCATAATTTTTTGCATCCCTAAATAATCTTTTTCACAAGGATTATTTAATGGAACATTCATATGCACTTACTGTTGCTATTGTTATTACTGTGGAACAACAGCTACGTCTAGAGTTGAAATTATTTTTCTATCTAGAAACACCTCGTTCCAGAGATAGTTTAGTCACTATAAATACTGTATTTAAAACTTTGGCTCAGTCTCACTTAGAACAGAGATCTTATGAATTTTAACACTGTTGAGCATAGAGTCCTGAACAGTGCAAAATGGGTTTTAGATATATTAGATAATAAAGCTTTAGAAGTAATAATTGAAATCGGTGCATTTGTTTTTTATAGAATATGTTTATGCAAATTCAGATGTGTTAATCATTAAAATCTCTTCGTAAAAGTAATGCTTATTTACATACCTCTGTAATACTGTTGTACCTGGCCTGTCCCCATCATCATTATGATGTGCAGGGAAATAACTACAGGACTTTTGTTGAACGTGTCACACAATTTCTAAAGATGTGTGAAATAAATGGCCTTAGTGTCGCTACATGCAGCATCAGAAAATATTTGAGCAGTACTGAAATTTCTAAATAATGTAAATAATGTTTCTATACTGGTTTTTGATCTTAAAAAAACATGTAAATGGTTGTCTTTAAATGATTTTTCTATAGACTGCTTTTTTTGGTTGTTTGTAATGCACAGTCCTGTCTGCTTCTACAGTTCCTGGTTTGATATTCAAGATTGCTGAACTCAGTCTCTGAAATATCCTCCTTATTTAAGGTGACTTTCCAAGTGTTTGATCAAAAAAAGAAACCAAGGTGATAAGCATGAGTTAATGAAGAATTATTAACAGAACACCACCCTTTTTATAATGAATAAGTATTTCTATCTTTAATAAAGCTAGACAGTTTGCCTTGTTATTGATAGAGAGTTCTGTAAGAAGCTGTTTCTGATGGTCTCTTTAAATTGATGTGGATAGTGTGCCATGTGTTAGAAGAGTGAATGTAGTAAGATGCTTTAGGTACAGGATTTTTTGTGGTGTAGTTTAACCATTTGTAATCAGTCCATAAAAGAGCAGGTCCTGCAGTGTAGCCTGACTGCAACAGTAAGAAGGAATATGAAGAATTACTATGTTTAAATGGTTTTAATTTTGTTATTAAACCTAAGCTCAGGTAGCACAGGGCAACAATCCAGATGAAATGTAAAAAATCCTGATTATTTTTTCTGATATTTTCCATTCTTATAATTTTTAAAGCTCTGCTCGTTTAATCAAATCACAAATTTCCTTTTACTCTGAGACCTTTTCCTCCTAAAAATGACACTAAACTTCAATCCAAGATTCAAGAATTTTTCATGAGTTGCTGATACTTGATTTATATAAAAATACACCTGAAGTTTGAGCAGATAACCACAGAAGTGCTGGCTGGTTTTGATAGTTAGGGTTATCTGCTGGACCCTCTTCTTAAAATGTTAGCAAGTATACTCCATGGACTTTCCTACAGGAAGATAAGAAACACTAACTTTTTAATGTAGAATAGAAAATTAGGCATATTATCTTTGAATCCAAGCTCCCTTGCTTAGCTCACAGAAAGTTAATTTTGTTGATGCTGTACACTTTAAGAAAAATCTCTCCCAAAAGCCTCAGTAGTTTTTCTTAGCCCAAAGAGTCAAAGTTAGGAAGGCACACTCAGGTATGACGGTTGTCTTATTATATGAAGGACATTCATCTGAACAAATGGTTTTTAAGGCCCCAGTAAAGCAAGGTGATAGAAATAGCAGAATACCAATAACGAGTTTGCTTGGCATAGAGACCAGAGCACTTGCCCTGCCTGTGGGTGCCTTGATGGGCTTTCAGAGCTGTTCCAGCTAACGCGCTTAGAGCCATTCCTCTTAGTGCGACAGTCTGTGATCACTTTCTTTCTGCTAATATACTCTTACCCATAGTAATGAGCTGCTGTATGTGCCAGGGATGCTTTTGCATCCCCAAGGCATGGGGTGGATGGCTACACATCCTCATTGAGGATGATATTTATTTGGCGAATAGAATCATAGAATAATTTAGGTTGGAAAAGACCTTTAAGATCATCGAGTCCAACCATTAACTTGGTACTGCTAATACCACCACTAAACCACGTCTCTAAGCACCACGTCTACGTGTGTTTTAAAGACTTCCAGGGATGGCAACTCAACCACCTCCCTGGGCAGCCTGTTCCAATGTTCGATAACTCTTTCCGTGAAGAAATTTGTCCTAATATCCAATCTAAACCTCCCCTGTCACAACTTGAGGCCATTTTCTCTTGTCCTATCACTTGGCACTTAGGAGAAGAGACCAACCCCCACCTCTCGGCAACCTTCTTTCAGGTAGTTGTAGAGAGCAATAAGTTCTCTCCTGAGCCTCCTCTTCTCCATCCTAAACACTCCCAGCTCCCTCAGCTGCTCCTCACAGCCCTTGTGCTCCAGACCCTTCCCCAGCTCCGTTGCCCTTCTCTGGACATGCTCCAGCACCTCAATGTCTTCCTTGAAGGGGGGGTCCCAAGTATTACTATAGAACCTAGTTCCTGGGATACCAAGATGTTGGCTTTGCAAGATATTTTGGCCTGCTGAGTGCATAATGTTTTTCTCATTTCCATAGTTATTTTCCTGCTGTATGTTATATAGAACCTTTAAAAATGAGAAAATAATATATTTTTAATGTTTACATAGCATATCATATTTAAAGGATATGATAATATTAACAGAAACTAAGAATGCCAGAATGTTATTACAGTACAGATAAGACTTTTAAACTGATTTGCATAGTGATGAATTTTGTTTTTCTTTATTTTATGGACTGATTTAGCATAAATATTGTTTTAGCCAGCATGAGAGACTTCCCTATGTTAGGAGGTCAGAGTGAAATATTGTGACTGGATTTTAGAGGAGCTGGATCATTTGGTGAACAATAACAGTTTTAGTTATTCATGCTGAGAGCAAAGTAATTAAATCTCATGCTTCAGGGCAGAGGCCGGCAGCCTGTGCTCTGTGGCAGCCAGTCAGGTACTCAGCTTGGTAAGTCCTGAAGCCTCGGCACTGAGGGTCAATGAGAGTATTGGTGATAGGAGAGACATATTGTTTAGGAGGAGTTTAAGATTAGTGTTATTAAAAACAAACACTCAACAACAACAACAAGCCCACCCCCCCCAAAAAATGCTAAACCTATGTCATGTTTAAAATTGATTAATTATATTGGGGTGATTTTTTTTTACCAGTTTTAAACAACAGATACTTGCCATTACGTGGAGGACAATTTACATCTACTGATGGCTTAGAGAAATGCGATTCTGCCAGTTTAACACTCCTACAGTTTATGGCCAGTGTTGAAATAGCAAGTTGAACATTTTCATAGTGATTTGAAAATGTTAAGAAATTAATTTTCCTGACAACTCTGTCAGGTATGTGCAGACTTAACACTTATTTATAAAGAGGAAGATTCAGAGCAGTGTGACATACCCAAAACTGTGGAAGAAAGAACATCCAATTCCAGAGACTTGTGTCAGGTAGCCAGAACTGGCATAAGCTGCACTAATAAAATTCACTAAAGCCTGGTCAGAACAGGAGCTTTGAAAACCTCAGACGCACATTTGTCTATGTGTGCTGATTAAAATTAGGTCATTCTATATTCACCAAACAGTCAGTTTTCCTGAAATAAAAATATCAGGGGTCTGAAATTTTTCATGGATAGGTAAATACTGTTGATTTAGAGAAAATGCAGGAAATATTTCCAGAAGATGGAAACATTTCACTTTTGATTCCTACAGACTGAGATACTACATTTTGAAAACAGTAGAGCATTTCATGTGGCATTTTCAAATGACACTTTAGAGCATCTTATTCTAAAATTGCATTTTCCCATTCTTAAAAATCACAATCTAAACCCATACAATATTCAATAACCAGCAGATTTCCACAACTTTTGTATTTATTTTTTTTTTTCCTAGGGGAAGCAGTGCATTTCAAGTTAACACAAAATCATGTTGCCTGTACTTTTCATTTATTCCCCAAAGGTGTATTTCCCAGTACGTCTAAGTCTAGTCACCAGACTGAGGAGTCTCATCCATCACACTCTAGGGCTAGGTCACGCCATGCCAAATGTCCCTTGAACAGCAGGCAGACCTCTGTTTTCAGGTTACTTACTTCATCTAAATAAAGTGTGGCATATGCACTGAAGAGAAGGAAAACACGGGCTATGTTTTGAAGTCGTGCCTTCTGCTAACTGTATCTTTTACAGTTTGGAGTGTGTCTTGCACTGTTATTCAGCTTTCTGAAGGAAACCCTATGAATCCCACATAAGATAAACCTGCATGAATAAATTATACAGTAGAACTAGCATATGGATTTTCAGTATGTTAGTCGGATCTTTGGCAAATGTTTATGAGAACATTGTAGCCCACATGGAAAGCATAATGATGGTAGCTCCCTGTTAATGAAACCGGAGTTATGCTGCAGCACAGTTATCACATACTAGTATGTGCTAAAAATATATACCTTGGCTATTCCATGGCTACATGTTCATGTAGACCTGTCATCAGTAACTACCATTGTATTTATCTCTTATTACTGTGGAAACCTATACAAAGCTTTATTTTGTTGTATTCTAAAAATTCAGGACCATCTCATTCTTGTTTCCCTTTTTAGAGCACGACGAATGTATAACAAACCAGCACAACTGTGATGAAAACGCGCTCTGTTTCAACACAGTGGGCGGGCACAACTGTGTCTGCAAGCCAGGTTACACGGGAAATGGTACCATCTGCAAAGGTAAGCTGCTGAAAACCCGGGGTCTTTGAACTGGGTGAGATGGCTTGTCATAGATGGTGCAAAGCTGGTCAAGTACCTTGAAGAAGACAGACAAAATGCTAAGCTAGGCATTTAGGTCCTGCACCTATAAGAAGACCTTGATGGGCAGATATATGCTGACTTTGCATTTGACAGACCTCTCAGTAATTTGACGATGATGTATACATAGACCAAATGCTCTAAAATTTGAAGTAATGTTTCATTTCTGTGTCAAGTTAACAGTTTCTATACATGCTACACCCTTCAAGGAAGCCTGCAGTTACCAGCAAAGTTACAGCTGTGAAAACATTGTCAGATCTACATTGTCCACTGTCAATCACTTGCTATTTTGCTTGGATGAACTGAAAGTTTTTGGTGTGCTGTGTCCTTTTTTTATAAATGAGAGAAGCAGTAAACATGCATGCACAAACCTGTGCTACACATGAGGTGGTGCCTTGTTTTCTAATGTTCTCAATCGCTGGTAGACTTTAGAAGTTATATTACTGGTCTTAGAAAGATGCTTTCTCAGAGATACAATGCTACTTTTATTTCCATTACATTTCACCTCAGAGGTGATACTTGGTACTTGGACCCTAATCCTGTGAAGTCCTGAGGCTCCTAGCATAGGATTTAGAGGATGCTTGAAAATAAAAGTATTGCTGCTGTAGGGAAACTGGCTTTAGACACAAGAATTGGTCTAGCTGCAGCAATAGCATACCCAGCATTCCCTGAAATTGCATTTCAGTCCTCTCGATCTGTTAGGTGTCAGAATCTCAGGGGCTGCAGTTAACATCAGTGATGTTCAATAGATACATTCTGCTGCTGTGTATTATCAAGGCTAAGCAACCCAGAATTTCCTTAATTGCTCAGCCAGAATAAGATCTTAGCGCTTGTTATTCCTTCACCTGAGTCACAGTATGATTTTTCTAAATATTCCTAACATAAATGAGCTCTTCATAGAACACAGCAGCTGAGTCAGCTTCCAGTCAAACACATGGTAGTCGGATAGATGTCAGCAAATATGCCTTTTTTATGCTGTATTCCCTCCTTTGGGGAATAGGAAAAAAGTCTTAGCCTGAGGAGGCTCAAACCCAGGGCTGCTCCCCTCAGAAGAGAGTTCTCTCTTCACAGTTCACTCCTGTGCTGTGCTTGGGAGTCCTTCTGCTGGAGGTTTGTCAGCTTACAAAAAGGTAATTGAGATTTCTTTGGGTCAGAAGAGAAGGTGCATAACCCTAGAGCACCATGTTTAGCTCTTCTGTTCCCTGGATAAGAGCTCTGACTGTGAATCTGACATTTCAGAGGGCACCTGCCTGGCTCCACTGTGAAAGAAAAGTGCATCCCTCCCTCCCTTTTCAGTACTGAAACACGGTATGCAGGAGAAGCCTCTGAGCCTGTGTATCCCAGCCTGAGAAATACACTTCTCTGCAGCCCTGACTTGGATGCCAGTGTCCTTCAGAGACGTGGATGTGCCTCTTGTCTCCGTGGCTTCGGCAGCTTTTTATGCAATGTGCTGCCAGCCGTGTTCCCATGCATCAGGTCATCCTGCACTGGGAAGCTTATATGTCTCACTCATTGCCAGGGTCTCACACCACAAGGCTGGTGCCTGGACTCCAAGAGCTGGAAAGCTCAAATTGCTAACACTCATGTTCTCTCTCAGATGAACCTGAAGAACTCATCAGTGGTGCTTACACAGAGCAGCTGCAAACCAAATGCATCTCCAGTGACTGATTACAAGAGCAGGGCTAGGCCAGTGACCCAAAGCAACTTTTTATGTTGGTGATAACCTCCATCTGCCTAGTTTCACCTACAGTTTCTTGTGACTTTCTGATTCCATATTGCAGATACAAGCAGAAGAATTAAGCAGCTGCCATGTTTTCTATCAGAACTGGTTGCTTTTCTGTGTCTGCAGAAGGGACTTTTTAATGTGCACACATATTCACAACTGCAACTGGAGCATGCTGCACCTAAGTGCATGGCTTCTCAGATTGCAGCATGCCAAAGCGCAAATCCAGGCATCAGCCTCAAAATGTAAATGGTAAAATCTTTTAAGTTCTTCAGAATCCCTTGAGACAAAACTATTTTTATTTTTTTGATATAATCGCTTAATCAAGGAATAAAGTATCCAGGCAATTTAGTGTTCAGTTGTGCCTGTTATGCCCAGGCCTTTATTTGGGCAGCAGAGAAGACCAGCACTGCCCTGGGAAGAGTGTTCCTGGGGAAGATGCTGCCTTTCACTGCTTCCCAGTGCATGCGAAGGAGCACATATGTGGGCTGTTGTCTTCAGATGATTTACTTTAATCTCCTTCTGTAGCTTGTCAGCCCATCTGGCCAGTGAGGCAGGGGGGCCATAAACCATGTCTTTGTGACCTCTATCCTTAGCAGAAGGCTGTCTCTGCTGTCAGTGCCGCAGGAACCCCGTTTTGTGCCTGCCTGCCAGAAACCTATAGCCACCTGCATGGTTGCTGAGTGTAGTTTTCTTATCCATATATTGTGATTTTGCATTTTGCAGCGTTTTGCAAAGATGGCTGTAGGAATGGAGGAGCCTGTATTGCTTCCAATGTGTGTGCCTGCCCACAAGGCTTCACTGGTCCCAGCTGTGAAACGGGTAAGATTATAATTGAATTTACGAGGGAGGCAGTCCAAGGAGGATGTCTGATGTAATCCAAGAGTAAAGGATTATTTAAGTGTGTGCTCTGAAAGAGGAAGCTGCTACTTAAATGTTACTCACTTTTCTTATGTGCCTCCCAAGAGAATATATTACAGCAGTTTTAATTAGAAGCACATGGACTGCAAAGATGAGAACATGAATTAAGACATCTTGGGTTTTGATGTTTCATAATTAATAAGATTATTATAGACTTACTTTTCACCTCAAATGACCTTCGAGGTGAAAATCTCCTGTAAATGGCAGGTAATCTGACATCTAGAAATAAATTCCAATATTTTATTACTTCTGTGCTGTAAATGTGTGACTGGTTCAGTAGCCCACCTTCCCCTGCAGCCTTATTTGAAGACTTGGGATTAGCTCATGGTTAAGGCAGGTTTTGGTGTTCCTACTGCTTTTACCTTCTTCTGCAGGCGTTCCTGTCTCTGCCTGCTACCCCTGGGGATGGCAGTCCCAAAAAGCCTTGTCTTAGACCTTTATTTTTGAAGTCTTGGATCTAGTCAAATTGTATTGACTAGCAGATTATGTAGAATGTTAGTATTGGGCATCAAAAAGTGCCTGTAAATAATTTCTCAAAGTTCAAATGAATAGTTTCAGCACCTTTATTTATTGCTGCAGAATTTTTAAATGCATTCTAACCGTACATGCCTCCAGGAGGTAACAGGAGAAAGCTTGTTTAGATTAATTGGCTTCAGTATGCCTAATAAAAGGGCAGTCTGCCACCTATGATTGACTATTGTTGCTGTTCTATATTGCCTTCAATAAATCTTCCAAACAGAGGAAAGGAGGTCATCTGAGCAAGTATTGCTTTCATCTGACTTGTAAACATTTCCAGTTTAATGAAATACACGGGCTGATCTGAATTCTGTATTATCTGGTCCATTTGAGAGGTGAGAAATGTGATTGTTTTCATTCTTCTGTATTTGAACGGATATTTCCACAGTGCACAAGAAGGGTACTGTTTGAAAAGCAGTATTCTGATTGTTCATCTCTTTCTAGAAAAATGTCAAAAGAGCAAGTTTTCAAGTATTTCTCACTGTTTCACAGTCTGCAAATAATGTGGTACAGGATATCAAGGTCTCTTCAATGTAATAGTGCTGTGGTTTTGCTTGGAACAAACTCTGTGCGAAGACAGTGCCCAAGTATTAAAACAATTACTTTGTTTTAGTAACATTTGTTTTATATGCCCCTTGCAGCACTCTGCTATTATCAACTAAATACAGCATGTATAGTTTCAAGGCCCACATTCATATTTTCTAGCTTTATACTCCCACCTGAAATGTCTAGACTAGAAGCATATTTGCTTTAATATCCTTATATAGTCAATAGCCACTATCAAAGGGAGATCTTACCGGCTTTTCTGAATTACCCCTGTTAGTCCCATCTCTGCTCCCTTTTTTAGAGGGGAACCCAGAGACACTCCATTCCCAGTTCAGAAATTTCAGTCACCTTAAATTAACTTAAGTTAGCTTATGTGCATTCAGCCCCAAATGTCTTTCAGAAGCAGCCAGATTGCTGGATTAACTGCCCATCCATCATGCCCTTCAGGAAACATACAGGGGGCAGACAGAGACTTGGACCAGATCTGAATGCCTTTCTGAATATCTGATCTCAATATTTAACATAAGGTTAGTATAGTAGTTTTCACCTGGTATCTCAGAGCAAGTGATTCTGCTGTTATGATTAGGAGCCAGTTTGTCAGCCCCAAACCAGTTTCGTAGGTCAGCTTTACAAGGAGAAGCCCCTCTGTCCTGGTGGACCTCCACTGGATGTCCTATTTTTTTCTTACTGTTGAAATAAGTAACGATAGAGATCAGCCACAGGGGTACAGATCTGGTCACCTCATTTGGATATTAATGTGCAAGTGTAGGATTGTCATCTACTTGCACATGGCTTTGACACATACCATCAGAATGGCAAATGGAAGAGCTACCCTGTCGATAAACAGAAAAAGTTGGTTTGTTCTGAGACTGCATTGCCAGAAAAATGTGCTGTACAGCTGTAAAAGAAAAACTGAGCTTCAGACAGTACATATTCACTCCCAGTGAATGCAAAAGAGTTTCCTGAAGGTACTTCTCATTAAACATTCACACTACAAATAATTTATGCTGGAAGCTTCCCTTTTTGAACAGTCACTTTATCTACAAAGATGATGTAATGTTTTCTAGGCAGACATCTTTAGTTGCGATCCCAAGCAAAAAGGAGGAAGATTGATGTAAAGATGCCAAATCTATTTTAAGATCAAATTACTTATTTCTGTTTGTGGTACATATATTTAAATACTGCTTATTGAAGAATCGTGGCATTTTTAGCTCAAAATAAAACATACAGTTATGTAGTAATTGTCAGCAGCTGATGAACCTATGAATCCACACCCAGCAATAACCTAGAAAATATGAGCACCAGTTCTTACTGCTTCCTTTTGTAAAAGGTAGTTTAATAGCTCTGTTTAAATAATTTCTCAGAGTCATAGAAAGGATGAGGCTGGGAGTGACCTCTGGAGATCAGCATGCCTAATCCCCCTGCTCAGAGCAGAATCAAATAGAGCTGGTTTCTCAGGACTGCGGCCAGTTGGATTTGGAGTGCTTTCAGGTTTGAAGACTCCACAGGCTCTCTGAGCAACCAATTCCAGTGTTCAGTCATCCTCACAAAAAAAAAAAAAAAAAATATTCCTTTTCATTACATTCGAATGCAATTTCCCATCCCTCTAGTCTCTTTCCTGGGCATGACTGTGAAGTGCCTGACTTCTCCCAACACCATCAGGTATTTATATGCATTGATAAAATCCCCCTCAGCCTTTTCATTTCCAGGCTGAACATCTCGGCTCTATCAGCCTCTTCTCATATGACAGATGCTTTGGTTCCTTAATCATCTTCACAGCACTGTACTGGATTTGCTCCCTGTCTCTCCTGTACTGGGGAGCCCAGCACTGGATGTGATCTCAATAGCATGAAATAGAGGAGAAGGATCACCTCCTTTGATCTGCTGACAGTGCTCTTCCCAGTGCAGCACAGGAGGCTGTTGGCCACCTTTGCTGCAAGGGCATGTTGCTGGCTCATGTTCAACTTGGTGTGTACTAGGACCTCCAGTTCCTTTCTGCAAAGCTGCTACCCCACTGGCTGGTCCCCAACCTGTACTGGGGTTGTACCTTAATAGATGTAGGACTTGGCAATTCCCTCTGAACTGGAGGAGCCCTTTGTCCGTTTCTCCAGCCTGTTGAGCTCCCCCTGAATGGCAGCCCACCTACCTGATGTAGCAACCTCTCCTCCAAATTTTGCATCATATGTAAATGTGTTGAGGGTGCACTCTGACCTATTGTCCAGATGTTAAACAGTACTGGCCCAGTAGCTATTATTTTTGTCGGCCTACACCACTATGTGACTAGCCTACAACTGGACATCATATGGCTGATCAGAGCCCTCTCAGCCCAGCTGTTTGGTAAGTTTTCAATCCACCCCACTGTCCATTTATTTAGCCTGCACTTTTTAGCTTGTCTGACGATGTTATGAGAGCATCAAAAGTCAAGCGAAACAACATCCTACCATTCACCAACCGAGTCATCTTATTTTAGAAGGTTATCAGGTTGGTCAGGCATGACTTCCTCTTCACAAATCAATGATGACTGTTCCAAATCACCTTCTTGTCTTTCATATGTTTAGAAATGGTATCCAGGAGGATACAATCAGCTTCCCAAGGATGGAGGTAAATTGTCCGATATGTAGTTTCCTGGATCCTTGCCCTTCTCAAAGATAGGACGGATGTTTGCTTCCTTCCAGTTCTCAGGAGCTTTTCTCAGTCACCATGACCTTTCAAAGGTAATTGCTATTGGCCTCACAATGACATCAGCCCGCTCCCTCAGCGCTCCTGGGTGCATCCCGTCAGGGGTGATCGACCTGTGTTTTTTCCAATTTATTTAGATATTGATCCTTCTCCACCAAGGGTAAATGTTTCTTGCTCCAGACTTTCCTACTGGTCTTGGCAACCTGGGACTCCTGAAGGCAAATCTTACCTGTAAAGGCCAAGGTGAAGAAGGCATTAAGTACCCTACTGTTTTCTGCGTCCTTTCCAATACACATCCCTGCACAACTGATCTGTGTCACTGTGTTCCTCACAAAGCTTGGCAGAGATGCTGCTGTCCATGCTTAGGTCCTGCCTCTGGAGCCAGGAGGAGCAGAGGCAGTGAGTGGTAGGGCACCACAGAGTAGGAAGCAGACAGCCTGCTTCTGATGGGAGAGGTCAGTAGTCTTCTGATCAAATTATCCTGAGACTGAAACATGGTTTCAGCGCAAACCCTTTCACCCAGAACTCCTGTAGCTTTCCCAGTGCTGGTGGATTAGCACCAGAAGCTTGCTTGTGTTTACAGGCACACCTATAACTCTTTTCAGCTCAGCTGCCATGGAAAGGCTACGTCAGATTCCTAAACTCAGTGCAGATTTTGCAAAGGCCTTGTGTAATTAACTGCGGTAATGGGTTTCATAATTTTTTCTGCTTCCAAATGAGTGCTTCTGGGGTGTCAGTAGGAGCCACGTCTCCCTCAGAAACATAAGAAGGATAATCAACTACTACTGCTAGTATCTCCATGAGAAGAGCTATTCTCTGTGGAATGCATTGCACTCTCTGTGGAGTTATTGCGACACCTTAGGACAATCTGTTGGAAGCCTTTTAGATTAATCATGGCCTGTGCACCGTGGAAATGGATCAGTGGAATGAGGAAGCAGGTGGAAGATTCATGTGCAGGTATATCAACCTCCAGCACCCTTTTTTAAAAATTAGTAATAGGACATAAAAACGTGACACTGGGGAATTCCTATTTCTCTTCCCAAAGGATGTGGATTGAGGCGTTGTTAATGCTGAGGGTGCATTTGTTGTCTTAGGGAGGCGGGGTTTATGTGTTAAAACATTTCCAAGTATTACAAAGCAGGGAAGTAGGTAACCCAGTA